TCCCCAAAGTTCGCCTTCATGGGTCTCGCTCTTTCCCGGGATTTGGTTTCTAGATTCTTGCTTCCCTTCCTTTCCTCTAGGAAACTTTCTGTTGATCTCTTCCCCAAGCAGTTAGAAAACATGATGTGCTTGGTCTCCCGTACCGGCAGGCATTTGCAGCGTTACGACAAAGGCTGTCGCCAAGTCGTCGGGTGCGTTCTTCTTCTTCTTCTTCTTCTTCTGGGTTTTCGGATTCCTGTCCTTCAAATCCCTAACTTCAAATTTTTGAATTTTCTTTTTAAATTTGGATTTTGCTGTTAATCTGACTTGTTCCATGCGGTTTTGAAACTGTGCAGATGCATTCCATACAGATACAGGGAAGCAAATGTTGAGGGAACCCGTAAACAGGAAATCGAGGTTCTCGTGATTAGTGCTCAAAACGGCCATGGAATGCAGTTCCCAAAGGTATTATTGTTTCTCCTCAAGTCGTTGAGCTCATCTTTTCCATGTTACTTCGTGCAAGCATTTGAGTCCTGACATATCTGTGTATTGTTCTGCTTCATCAGGGAGGTTGGGAGATTGACGAATCCATGGAACAAGCTGCCTTAAGGGAGACTTTAGAGGAAGCAGGGGTTGTTGGCAAGGTCGAAGTAAGTATCTGTATCTGTAGACACTTTCTCGATTCAGATTCTTAGCAATTAGCCAATCTTGGTTTCTTACCTTTTATGTCTCGGATGTTTTTGCAGAGTAAATTGGGTAAATGGAATTATAAAAGCAAACGCCAAGCTACTGTACATGAAGGATATATGTTCCCTTTGCTTGTCAAGCAGCAGCTTGAGGATTGGCCAGAGAAGAACATCCGAAAGCGAAGATGGGTAAGTACTCGTATGATTTGCCTCCATTCATTATTCCAATTGCAAAGATAATTTCACACAAATCTTTAATGATTGCAAATTAGGTGGTTGTTCTAAAGTTTCATTGATCTGTATGATGCAGATGTCTGTGGCTGAAGCAAAAGAAGTTTGCCCACATGCTTGGATGAAGGAAGCTTTAGATATGTTGGTCACTAGACAATCTCAAGTCAAGAAGAAATAGAGTGGAATGTCGAGTTAGATGTACATTGTGGGCATTCTCTCATGTTTATGTAGTGTCCAAGCGACACAAGCACGGGGATATGACATATCAGCACAGAAAATTTCAAAGTCAGGAAGAGGAATAATAGTTGCTGGAGTTCATGGTTACTTCCTGGTCTTCAATTTCCTATGGGTGCTACTGAAATTGCAGCCATGGAATGCAAGTTTGTGGGGTGAAGTTGAAGAGATCTTGCAACGGAAATCAGCTGTAGATATACAAATTCAATTCATTCTTTCTTTCGTTCTTTGTATTCTTTCAATCTGATTCTTTATGTACAATAATATCTGGTATCAATGATAATTCTATGGCCACTTTGTCTACTGTTATGCTTGCTTCTGTTCTTCCCAGCAATTCTGATGGAGACTGTCTGATAAACATAGTCAATTGTTTGGAGGCAAGAAATCTAATAATAGCCCCGATAATTCTTCTAACAAGAATGAAAGAAATGACGTGAGAAGTCAGAAAATCGATAAGTTTCTACATGATAAGGACCGTAAGTTAAAAAGGGAAAGAGAGAAGATACTATCATTGATGGTTTCTCTAAAACCATAGACAATATAGATACCTACCGACCTTGAGGAAAACCAGACGAGTACGTCTGATTTTTGCTCAAAGGGAAATGTGAGGTAAACATGCTTTGGAAAGGCATAGTTTAGTGGGGGGAAAAGATTGCCGAGTGAGCAGTACAAAGATGATAAGGTTGCATTATTGCTCCATTCTGATTGGATTTCTCAAAGGGTTGAAAGAGACGTGTGGTGCCATAGCTGTTGCAATCAATCATGATAAGCTGCTTTCAACAGGCCCAGAGACTTGTTGGCAAGAACATGAGTAGTTAATCGGTAAGAATATGATAACTCATGTCCCGAGTATTCTTGAGTTTTTTGTCTCGTTGCGGATATCAAAGCTTTATTGTTGAACAATATTTACGTAAGTGCTATTGGAACTCGCCAAGTAAATTCATAGAATCAAACTTCTTTTTCTGAAAAAGAAAATACCTTTAAACTATGTGCAAAACAACACATACAGAGGTGAGCAAAGGACAAGGGATGGATTTAACAATTTGGGTGGGCGCGTGTGGTGTGGAAAATAAATAAGAGAAGTCATTGGTGAAAAGTGCGAGCGTACTCAAAATCAAAAAGATTACTAAAGTGAGAAAGATAATCTTCCTTTTATCATTCACCACTTTCACATAGTAAGATGATATTTGATCAAAGATTTTTAAGCTACCTAACTAATCATCAGCGCATCAGACCCCAACATAGGCACAATAGTTTGATTCCCTTGACATTTTCACACACGATTATTGTATTGTCTAAAAAATTTTCTCCGTGGAATCCAAATAAATCCATATCTGCAGCTAATATAAGGCCACGTCAAGAATCTCTAAAAACCTCAAGTTTTAAAGCAAAAAACTCTCAGTGATGGCTCCACCCAATGAAAAATGTCTTCTTGTGTCCTGTTCTTTAACTCGTGTAGACAAAAAAGTCAATAATAATTGACAGCATCAGTACATGTAAGATATTGAGATCCCTCGGATTAAGAAAATGATGTTGAATGAAGATGCTTATGTACATATATTGCATAAATAAAATATAATTCAACTCAATATTCTAAATACAATTTAACTAAGAGGATCCCAATCCTCTTATCCCAACACTGCAAAAGAAAGTTTAATTTCATCATTTGTTGGACGAGTTCCTTTTAAACCCTGAAGATAGATAGCATTTTTCTTAATTTAATTTTTTGGTTGAATTTTATTTTGAATTTTGATGAAAAAAATTGCATCATAATTGGAATGTTGTTAAAGTAATCCATATACATTTTATATTTTCATTATAAGATTTTTAATAAAAATATAGAAAATTCATTATGCAATTTTGAAATTGTTCATAAATATCATATCCTATTGGAATTAAAATATTTAATAATAAAAATGTAAGCATAATTAAATTTAAATAAAGTGGAGTCCATGCATTCCACATGATATTTTAACAAAGTGAAAAAAATTAGCCATATTATTCATGAATCTTCATACTTTTTATATTTTATATTGATATTGGTTTTAAATTCAACAATATATAAGCCATGTATATTTTTTGGAGTTTGAGAGATGAATTTATTATTTATAACTTTTTTATATCTTATATTAACAACATTAATATTGATGTATTGATATGGAAGGTTTTATATGGCCTCGAAAAGTAAGCACCAGGAATCCTTTTTTTTTTTATTTCCCTTTTTTGATCATAAGTACTCTACTCTACCCAATTATATTACAATTACAAATTACAAATATAATTTGATTTTTATATCCATGCAATGTACGGTATATTAACTCTCAATTATAATATAAAAATAGGCCCGGCTCCGGTGACATTGGAATAAGAATTTATACTTTAAAATGATGATTTAAAATACTTATTTTGGATTTTAAAAATATTATAATTTTTATTTTAGATAATGAATATATAACATTACAAAGTCAAACTTATTTTTTAAAAATTACGAAAAGAAGATTTTTAGGGTCAGCCGTAAGCCTTTTGATAAATATTGGTTTTAAGAAATAGCTAATTTAAGATGAAAGGCTTAAGGAGCATGAGTCTACAAGAGTCAAGTCCACCTATTTTTTGATTATGTATATTAGAAGTTATTTCAATTAACAACTTATTTTTCATGATATAGTTCTCTTTTATATAGTGAAAGAATAAATGATTTATTTTATTATACAACTTATAATTAACTTTTAGTGTTAAAAATAAGCATCTAATTATTTTTGTAGAATTTATTACTATGTATAAATTAAAATTCTAAAAATGAAAAAAGTTCATTGCATTGCATGCCAACCATTTTAGAATTTGTGTAATTTTTATTTGAATTTTGTTTCTTGTTTCACACCTATTTTTTTATTATAGGTTTCGTATTTACCAACCATTTTGGGGGATCTCTAAAATTGAAATCCATTAATTTTCATGAAGTATTTCTTTTTTGTATAAAAATAAAAAAGAAAAATTAAGTTGTGATATATATACTCCTCCGTCTTAATTTGTAAAACACGTTTAGAGATAATTTAGGATACCAAAATATAAAATGCTTTAAGGTTTCATTGGTTATATTTATTTAACATTACCCTTCCCTCTTTGTTATAGTTCATTCTCTATTTATGTTTCACAAATAAAGCTATATTAAATTAAGAATATTTTTGAAATTTTTTATTTTTGCTTTAAAATAATAAGATTATAAAGTATATTTAATAAAATTTATTAGTATGCATATTTTTGTCAAAAAAATATCTTATAAATTACTCCCCTTGGATCATATTACATGACATTGATAATTACTTTATAGTTCTAAAAAAAAAGTTAGTTAAAACCCTAATCTTTATATTATTTTTTTTACATTTTTTCAATCATGCCTTTACTAAATACTTTATATAAGTATCTTGATAAAGAAAATTAAAATACATATTTTTTTTAAAAATTTTAATATATAAAGTAGGAATATAGTTAAAATATAATTGTAAAATTTATCAACTTCTTGTATTTTAAATCAAGTTAGATTTTTAGAAGATATCATATATTATAATTTAAAGAAAATATTTTTTAATATTGATTTCATATTTATCTATCACTCATTTTCCCTGTGAGTCCCGTACTCAGTACTCACTTTTTCCTATTATAAAATTGTTATAATCTTTTATTTTTTTATTTACTATAAAATAATTAAAAAATTAGTATTAAAAAAAACGGAGATGTTGGATGGTTATTCTACATGTAGATAATTTGGTTTCTGGGATCCAAAAGCCCAACTGTCAGCTCTTAATGGGCCGTTGGTCCAACAAATTTCACAAAAACAGTTGGCCGATCTTCAAATTTTGAATACGCCGTTGATGTTCGTGAAGTGGCTGTACAGCTGTACGATCTCAGAAACAAAAAAGAGTACCATTCCATTGCCGTTGGGCATTGCCAGAACGAAAACGATGGGAAGGTGTAGAGCAAAGAGTGACTACGAGGCTCTCAGAAATGCACGCTTGTTAGAGAATCAGGTCTGCATTTCTTCTCTTCTGCGAGCAAGATCATTATCTTTTTAAGCTTCTTTCTCATGGAATTGGGTAAATTCAGGCTCGGTTAGCTTCTCTTGGTCTTCACAAAACAATCTCTGAACTTCGAGACGCAACAGCATCTGCTAAACCGAAACCTAAAAGAGCCTGGAATAAAAGGGTTTATGTTGTTACTCCCTTGCGTCGCTCCCAGAGAGTCAACAGAACTGACCTCAACGGAAACAGCAGCAACCTTCCACCCCGACGATCTCAGCGTTTGAGAGGAAGTATAACCGACCCTTCGTCTCCAAAAGAAGGTTTCAGACTAACATTTGATTTTTCTATTGGTCTATCTGTGAACCTAGAAACAATAGGAACATTGAAGTTCTAAGGGCGTCTTTTTCTTTGTTGATGTACTGTGATTTTTTCTCTGTTGTTTGCAACAGAGAAGGTAGATGTATCTGAAGAGGAGGGAGAGTGTGTTCCATTTGGATCAGAAGAGAAGAGGCCGGCGAATGCACCGTTGATTAAACTAAAGGGTGCAGAACTTCAACTCTCTGCTGAGTCTTCGGCTGTGCGCTGCAATAGCAAGGGTAGAGGCAGTGTATACAACCCTGTGTTTGGCATATGCTGCCATTTCTGCAGGTGTTTTCTAACCTTCATTACATTAATAAGTAGACCATGACAATATGACATTCTTAATAGTTATCATGTCAAGCCAACTGATTAATAACATTGTAGGTTTCTGCATCTGTTTTTGGTTGCTTTTTTCCAAAGTTGGCATGTATGTCATGGAGTTTCTTAAGCAGCCATTGCACACACATGATCTATGGATCATAATCACAACTGGCGAGATTCAATGATAAAATGTATAAATTTACTGTGGTGAAATGGAATGGATCAATTAAGTGGTGAATCTAGCTCCTGCTATGCTATCGAGCCATTCTAGTTTGAATTGGAATGAGGACACTGCAATGCAATGCACGCAAAAGAAATTATGTGGTGAAGAAGACTGCAAAAGATGTGGCAATTTTGATGTGAACGAGCCGTGCCTAGGTTAGATTCAGAATTGAGACTTCTTTCGCGTTCTACCTTGACTCCTCATTTCTTTAACACTTACCTTCCATATTTTAAGCAGGAAAGACTGACTGTTCAGTATGTCACTCTAGTACTGGTGTTTTCTGCAGAGCTTGCCTCAAGGTTCGATATGGTGAAGGTAAGTACCAAGTGGCTTAGCTAAATACAAGTTTAACAAATAGATGAGGGAAACAAATTAAGAATTCATCGAAATAATAATACTGGTGTCTGATTTATCAGATGGCCCCAAGTTATGTGAAAATTCATCTTACCGTTTTCCACTTATGTAGCTATGACAGCTATCGAGATTTTGTTTGATGCTAAGAGTAGTGCTAGTTTTCCCCGTAAACTGTAGAAGTAAAATATCTTATATATTAAACATCGTGTTCAGATTGTGGATCTTAGCTTATGAACTCTGTTACGCTTTGAAAGAATTGGA